CGCAGGGGTGGCAGATGCATGTGGCAACGAAGAAAGCAAACAGAGGTGGTACTGGAGAACGCAGACAGAGGCAAACTATGCAAGTGGAAATGAAAAAGGAAGGCGGCAAGGATGTTGGATCGTCAATCTAAGAACCAAAGCAAGCGAAGGTTCATCCGACAGTGGCAGGAGATGCAAATGGCGACGAAGGGGGAAGGTTCCGACGTCGTTTCTACCTCCACATGAACCACTAGATTTGCATTTTGCCACCTGATACCTGCCATCAACGCCCTCCTTATGCCACGATCTGAAACCATTGGGCCTCTTCTCGCCGTCAGATCTAAGGTAGCGGAGCCGTCATACATGTATCTTGTTGTGGATCTCGCAATGGAAACCGCCACCGGAGCTAGGGTAACAGAGTCGTCATCAGAGTGGTGGTGATGGTGGTCTTATTTTAGGGTGTGATGGGGTGTGACTTAATTCGAATGGGTGGTCGAGTGATGGTGTTGAGAGAGAGAGATAGAGAGAGAGAGAGAGATATATAGAGAGAGGGAGAGAGAGAGAGAGAGAGAGAGAGAGAGAGGTGGGTTTATTTTGTTTTTGTTTTTCATTTTATTATAAGAATAAGAAAATAAATAAAAGAAATTAAAATATAATTATCTAAGGGGCATATTAGTCATTTTACGTGGGATGTGGACCAAAAACACAAGAAAATACAACCATAGGGATCAAAACCACACAAGGTATCTAAAATTGGACCAGTGGTGCACCAACATTTCGTTTTGGACCAAACGACATAATTTTGCCAACCACAGGGACCATTTTTGCAATTTTGTTTAGAAATAAAATACAATTGTTTAAATCGGAAAGCTAAAAAATTGTAGCTTTTATGTATTTTGTGCTAAAAAAATATTATTTTTCAGGTCAATATAATAAAATATTCTTCCAAACTTTATAATCATTAATTTTTTATTTTATTTTCTCTTTTAAATATCATGATTTAGGCTTTTCTTTTGTCTTTTATTTTTCTTTCGATCTTATTTCCAACAATAATCTATACTCTAATAAATGAATATTTTTTTGGTCACATGTCACACTCTCATTCAATTTGCCAAATATCGTTTTGTGATTATTTTGAATTAATTTCTTTTCCATATGTCATTTTATGAGTTTTTCTATTTTAATAAATTTCACATAATATTTTAATGTAATAATTGCAATAAATATAGTAATAAATGAATATCAATTTCATTAATAGATTTACCTTCTTATTTAAAAATTCTCAATTTAAAGCTCACTAGTTTATTTTGTTTATTTATTTAAACTATTTGTTTAAATTTAAAAGATAAAAGACATTTCAATTATAATAATTTATTATTTTTTCTTATTTTATTATAAATTCAAAGTTTTCAAATATTTTGATATTTATATTTAATTTTTTTTTTAAATTAACTCATGTAATACATGGGTCTCATAACTAATATCTATTATTGAACACTTCATGCCCTTAAAAGGAGTGGGATTATAGAGATTCATATGCTTCATGAAAATTTCTCATTTTGAGCAAAGATATCAAGATTTATTTAAGACAAAATTGCAAAAATGGTCCCTGTGGTTTGCCAATTTCTTTGGCTAAGGTCCAAAAAAAAGTTTATTAGCAAAAAATGTCATTATTTGGTGGTTTACTGTGGTTTTGATCCCTATTTCGTTAACTTTAACATTTGATTGTTAACTTTTTTAAAATGACAATTTTACCCTCAGGGACTATTTTTGCAGTTATCTCTTTTTACCAAATTACAAGGACCATTTTTGCAACTATTCTTTTTAAATTTATTAGATTATTATATATTAATTCTTCTTTCTTTTTAGTTTTATTGAACTATTATACATTAATTCTTTTTTTAATTTTTTATTGGATTGATTTTTTTATCTGATTATTATATATCAGTTAATTTTATTTTTAATATATAATATTTATATATTAATAAATATTATATTAGTATATTATTAATTTATTTTAACTGTTTTTTAAAATTTTTTTATTGGATTATTTTATTTTAAAAAAATTATTAGGTTTTTTTTTATTGGATTATTATATTTAATTTATTATATGTTATATATAATAATAATTTTAGTGGATCATTAATTTTTTTTAAATGTATAATATTAATTCTTTTTAATTTATTGGTTCTACCACAAAGTCTTCGGAATACGCAAAAGCACCGCATCCCATTGTCGAAAATCGTCGGGACCACCGCTAATCACCTTCATCGGAGGTCCGACGGAAACACTATCAACCTGTTTCACCCAACGCCGCTATCCAGTAGCCACCTGCGACAACCTCTTCACAATCCGTTAGAATCATTTATATTTGCCACTAAGTCGATCGTTTTCCACTAGAACCATTACTATTTGAACCACCAAGAAGTCCAACCCAAACACCCCTTTCAGTTCCTCCATTTGCTGCCTTTTACCAGCTTACGCCACAACTACCTAGTCAGTTCCTCCATTCGTTGCCTTCCACAACCCATGCACAACCTTATAACATCGAAGCTTCAAGCCTGCACTACCTGAAAAGATCTAGCGGTGGATCTAGTGGTTTGAAAACCCTATATCTAACATTGTCGCCATTGATGGCATTGTGGGTAGTCAATTGGTGTAGTTTTGGTTGAGAATAACGGATTTTAGGCAACGATCGACAATTTCCGACAATATGATGTGGCGGCGCAAGGTGGTAGAAAGCAACGAATGGAGGAACTGACCAGGGGTGTTTGGATTGGACCTCCTTGTGGTTAACATAGTATTGGTTGTAACAGAAAATGTCTGACTTAACACATTATTGGTTGCCACTAAGTCAGTCGTTTTTCTGTTACAATCAATATTGTGTTAAGGAGGTCCGATCCAAACACCCCTGGTCAGTTCCTCAGTTCGTTGCTTTCTACTACCTTGCGCCGCCACATCATCTTGTCGGAAATCGTTGATCGTTGCCTAGAATCCGTCATTCTTAACCAAAACTACACCAATTGACTACCCACACTGCCGTCAATGGCGACAATGTTAGAAATAGGGTTTTTCAAACCACCGGATCCACCGCTAAATCTTTTCAGGCAGTGCAGGCTTGAAGCTTTGATGTTACAAGGTTGTGCATGGCTTATGGAAGGCAACGAATGGAGGAACTGACTAGGTAGTATGATTTTGTGGCGTAAGCTGGTAAAATGCAACAAATGGAGGAACTGACAGGGGTGTTTGGGCTGGACTTCTTGGTTGTTCAAATAGTGATGGTTCTAGTGGAAAACGATCGGCTTAGTGGCAAATATAAAGGATTATGACGGATTGTGAAGAGGTTGTTGCAGGTGGCTACTGGATAGCGGTGTTGGGTGAAACAGGTTGGTAGTGTTTATGTCAGACCTCCGATGAAGGTGATTAGCGGTGGTCGTGACGATTTTCAACAATGGGATGCGGTGCTTTTGCGTATTCCGAAGACTTTGTGGTAAAACCAATAAATTTGAAAGAATTAATAATATATATTTAAAAAAAATTAATGATCCACGAAAATATTATTTATTATATATAGAATATAAATAAATTAAACGTAATAATCCAATAAAAAAATCTAATAACTTTTTTTAAAAAAATAATCCAATAATTTTTTTTTTTAAAAATAGTTAAAAGATATTAATAATATAATAATATAATATTTATTAATATATAAATATTATATATTAAAAGTAGAATTAACTGATATATAATAATAAGATAAAAAATTAATCCAATAAAAATAAAATTAAAAAAAGAATTAATGTATAATAGTTCAATAAAATTAAAAAGAAAGAAGAATTAATATATAATAATTCAATAAATTTAAAAAGAAAGAATTGCATAAATGGTCCTTGTAATTTAGTAAAAAGAGATAACTGCAAAAATGGTCCCTGAAGGTAAAATTGTCATTTTAAAAAAGTTAACAACCAAATGTTAAAGTTAAGGAAATTGGGACCAAAACACAGCTAAACCATCAAATAAAGACCTTTTTTTGTTAATAAAGTTTTTTTTTGACTTTACCCAAAGAAATTGGCAAACCACAAGTACCATTTTTGCAATTTTGTCATTAGTGAACTACTTCACGATTGTCTTTCTCATTTTCAGCAAAGATATCAAGATTTATTTAAAAAAATATCATTAGTCAACTTTTTTATAAGACAAAGTACTTTTAGCATAATTTATTATAAAGATATTCACAAAAATGATAGATATTGAGCCATATGAAAATAATCTAACTTTTATGTATTTGTGAAAGTGACCTTTATTTTCGAAAAGAGGCATTATCGGATTCCAGTAATATATTATGTCTATTTTTTTCGCATTTACAACAAATATTTTTTCCAAAAATATTTATATTCATTTTTTAAATGTTTAATATAATCGATTTTTCAATTAAAATTCATTTGTTATGTTTTTGTATGGTATCTATTTTTTATTTGTTATGTTTACTAGGTGTGAAACCCGAGTTTTACACGAGTTAATTTAAAAAACGATTAAACATTAAAGTGTAAACAAAAAATATTTTTTAATGTACAACTTTAAAATAAGAAAAGAAGAAACGTATTTATTGCAATTTAATATCATATATATGATATTTAATACTTTACATATATAACTATAGATGACTTTAATTTTACAAATTGAAACAAATCAAAAAATTGACAAGTGGATAATATTTATTTTAAAAATACCACAATACGACAAGTGTCAAAACTCATGTGAGATTGACATGTGGCAAAAAATAAAGGAGAATCTGTATTTATATCGGATCACTAAAACTATTATTATTATTATTATTATTATTATTATTATTTTTGAAATTTCAGAGATATATGAATGTTCTTTTCTTTTCTTAAAAAAGAAATACACTGCTTACTTATTATGTAGGTTAAATAAAAATTGATTTATTTTGTTTAATGTTTTCGGATATTATTTTAAAAGGAGAACGCGCAAGAGAATTCATCGAGCCAAGGGCATCCAAAGAGAACGTAAGGTATATACCTCGAGTATAAATATTAGGGTTGGCCAAATCGTCTGATCCGTTCCTGTGAAAGAGAAGACGCACAAAACAAAACAAACACAATTGAAAACACAGTGGGTGGGGGGTGTCTCATCTCTATCTCTCTCTCATCTAAGAGCCTGAAGTTAGGCCTTTGTCCTCCTGTGGCTACCTTAAGGTTATGCCGTTTGCCCTACACCAGGTACTATTATCATCATATAATATCCTCTTTCAATTAGATCTCATCGTTTCCATGTTTTTGTTTCTCTTTGATTGATGTGCTGAACGATATGCGATTGATTTTTAGGTTGAATTATTTGTTTGTTGTTGATTTCATAGAATCGGATCTCAGTTATGTTCGATTTTTATTGTTTCGCGTTTGGATCAGGTTAATTTGATTTGATTTGGATTTCGTTATAGGTATTAGTTATCGTATCCATATTATATTCTGGTGAGAGCCTGCGTGCTGGACTTTGGTCAAAACTATTGAGTAAACCAGAATTCATCCTATTATCTTCCATAGGTTCATTTTTTTTCCTAGACGTAAGACTTAAATTTAACTTTCAACATTTTGCCATTAAGTTATAAGTATCTTTCCAATTTTGCAAAAGGTAGACCAAAATCGGTCAGTTATGAGTCTTTATGTGTATATAGCATTGTCTGTTGGTGTGTGCATAGAACTCTGTTCATATGACAATGAACTAAGTTGAGCTAATTTATGTTTTTTTGATTTTGTCAGCTTTGGAAAGGTTTTAATCTCTACTGAAACATGGAGCAAGTGTGCCTTTTGTCAGATTGTTTCCAGAGACAGGTTTTTTCATTCCAGGAAGTGCTCGATTGGCGTTTTCTCATCCTTGGAGGTTTCCATTTTGTTTCCTTCAATTGCACTTAGTGAGCCTACTGTATATGAGCAGTTAAGCAGGCGTAATGCCATTTTAACCTGAGACTGGTGTTTGATATGTCGCTGTACATTTACAAGTAAGCTGATTTACTTTGTTATGTGAGGTGTATGTTATCATTTGTGGAAATAAGGAAGTGATTGTGTGGTGTATTCTGACATCATTCCTTTTCTGTTTTCAACTTGTAGGGCTGAATCTTGCTTGTAAATGCTGCATTATTGTTGGTCTGACCTTAATTTTAGCAACACTTGTCCTTTATTCCCATGGTTCAGTTAGATTTTACAGTAGATATTGGTCAAAGATTTTGCTACTGAATTTAAGTAGAGTAAATGAGATAGCCATTTCAAGTGTCTTATTGTTGGCTACGAGTATTCTGCTTTTATCTATTCCTGGATCAGTGTCAAGATGCCCTGCATTTCTCAACTGTCTTTGCTTCATTTACCTTGTCAATGTCTTCACATCATTGATCGGGTGTCTTTTATAAATAAGGCTGTGAGGATTGTCCATCAGAAGCATACATTCCTGCTTATGCATGAAGAATGAAGGTGGATACAGCTACAACAGCCAGGCTGGTGGTTCATATTTTATAGTTTCTTCTGTAGTTTTCTAGTTAAAGCGTGTTATTTCTTCTATGTTTGTGTCTCTTCTTCATAAATAAAGCGCTACGTGGAGCTGTAAACGTGAAAATGGAAAGGTGAGATGATTTTTCTTTGTACTTCTTGTTCAAACTAGAATGTGAAATCATATTGATCACTCAATTTTTTCTTTTATTCCAGGTATAAGATAATCAAGGAAGTTGGTAATGGGACATTTGGGGTTGTCTGGAGAGCATTGAACAAACATAATGGTGAAGTGGTAGGCTTCCCTTGATTAAAGAATCTTTCAAAACTAAGTAAATGCATTTATTAAAGTTTATGTATAACGGTGCAGGTTGCTATTAAGAAAATGAAGAGAAAATATTATTCATGGGAAGAATGCATAAATTTGAGAGAAGTCAAGGTAACAATGTAACAACATCCTTTAGTCATTCCATTGTCATAACTTCAAGCTCACAAATTGACCTTTTTACCCTTGACAGTCGCTGCGAAAGATGAATCATCCAAATATCGTGAAGCTGAAGGAAGTTATTAGGGAAAATGACATTTTGTACTTTGTGTTTGAATACATGGTACACATCTTTTTCTTGTTGTGTGTTAGCTGTCATTTGCTTTCACATTTGTTTGATAAATATCATTACATTTCTCTTTCAGGAATGTAGTCTTTACCAACTTATGAAAGACAGAGTGAAGCCTTTCTCAGAAACTGAAATTAGAAACTGGTGCTTCAATATTTTTCAAGGTCTCGTATACATGCATCAAAATGGCTACTTCCATCGTGATCTTAAGCCAGGTATTTTCTTGAATGAATAGAGTTGACTTATATTGTGTTGTAAATATTTTCTGGCTTATAATGAAAAGATTTCATGGTGTCAGAGAACTTGCTTGTTTCAAAGGGTGTGATAAAAATAGCTGATTTTGGTCTTGCTCGTGAGATTACATCCCAACCACCATACACCGAGTATGTTTCAACACGCTGGTGAGTCTATGTTCTTTCACACTGGAATAAAAACCATTTTATGGAAAAAGATTCCTTTAGGGATCAAAACCAAAGAAACTTGGAAACCACAGGGACCATTTTGCAATTTACTTGTAAAGATGTTGCTTTTCAACTTAATTATTTTAACTGGTTAAACTTAATCTCGACAACTATACATGACTGTTTCTTTTTGACTTAACTTAATGGATAAGCCAAAAGACTTTTACCTCTTTTTCCTTCTTTACCCATTCTTTTACTAGCTATCTAAACATGGATCATGCAGGTATCGGGCTCCAGAGGTGCTTCTCCAGTCACCAACATATGGTTCTGCTGTTGGTAAGTTGATGGATTTTTATAGTGATATTTCTTGAGATCTTTTACAGCATTTGTGGAGTATAATATATTTTTGTTTTTATTTCAATTACAGATTTGTGGGCAATGGGTGCAATCATGGCTGAATTATTTACTCTTCGCCCACTTTTTCCTGGTTCAAGGTATATGGCCCTTTAAACTATATAAATAAAAATCATGCCATATTCTTAAATCTTAATTAATAGTTTTACATACTAATACTATCTTGTTTTCTTTTATGCAGTGAAGCAGATGAAATTTACAAAATCTGTAGTGTGATAGGCAGCCCAACACAAAACACATGGCGTGAGGGACTCGAACTAGCAAGTACAATCAATTATCAGTTTCCAGAGGTTAGTTTGTCTTGTTTTAGTTAAAGACTAAATTACATTTTTGGTCCTTACATAATAAGCACTGCTGATTTTTTCAATTTTGGTCCCAAAAAGTGTTCTTTTGTAATTTTGGTCGTTATTTAAGGCTCTTATAATGTTTTTTTGTCCCTGTTCCAAGTAAAATGACTATATAATTGAGACAAAAATCAGCTATACAGCCTATACTCAGGGATATAAAATAGTCAATATACTTGGAACATGGACAAAAAATGCTGCAAATAAGGACCAAAATTGCAAAAATCAGCTATACTCAAGTACCAAAATGTAATTTATCCTTTACAACTATCATGCTTTATATCTTCAAAAAAGTATTTATAATCTTGTTTTTGATTTATAATCTAACCAGAAGTACAAATGTTCAAATATTAAAATACACATTAAAAAAAACGAATCCGACACTTCATTTATGGATTCTATTTTCTTTTGTTTTTATTGAGATAAACATGTAGATGCATAATTAAATTATTAAGTTCTTTTACGTAATCTATATTCTTTTGTTTGATTAAGATAAACATGCAAACATGCATTGAATTAGTAAGTTCTTTTACGTAAACTATTTTCTTTTGTTTTATTAAGATAAACATGCAGATACATAATTAAGTGAAGAGCTGATTTTACTTAATCATGCATTAAATTATTAAGTTCTTTTATGTAAAAGAGTTTTTAAAAATGCAATATAAAGTTTTCACTTGCAATTGTGGTTATTATTTGAAGTTTTTGTAAAGCTTTTGGAGTAAAATGACTTGCAAAAGTCAACTATAGAAAGTCAGTTTATTTGAGACAGATGTAAATTGGCATTGCAGGTTGGTGGTGTAAATCTTTCTGCATTAATACCATCTGCAAGCAAGGAGGCAGTGAATTTGATTTCTGTAAGTAGTGTAGTGGTTTTAAATTACCATTTTGGCCTTTCAGAACTGCCTAATAATATAATATGCAATCATATTGAACATGTAGGCTCTCTGTTCTTGGGACCCATGCAAAAGGCCGACAGCTGTAGAGGCCCTTCAGCATCCTTTCTTCCAGGTATCCCTGCCATTTCTGTCAAATTATAAAATATCATAATCATTAATCAATAACAAGAGATGTCTAAAACACAATTTTTATTTTTTTTTAAAATAAATTTGCAGAGTTGTTACTATGTTCCCCCATCTCTTCGCCATAAGCCTGCTTCTACTGCCAGGATGTCTCCATCTGTTGGGGTAAATGGCAGAGGAGGAGGCATGGAGCAGAAATATGGGTATTCTGGTCATTTGTCTAGTGTGAAGCCCGCTGTGCATGTTACTTCATCTGCAAAAGTGCATGCGTCCTTAAACACAGGTATTTTTATTTTTATTTTTATTTTTCTTTTTGGAACTTTTTAAAATAAAAATAGAAGCTTGATATGTTGTGTTTGTGGTGATATTATTTATAAATTTTGGTACAGGGGTGCATCATAAAGTGGAAGTGAATAATAATAATAATTATGAGGGACCGGGTGGAGTAAAGAAGGAAAAGACCTACAAGAACAGTGCTGGTGCTGCCAGACAACCAAAATATCGACCTCCTCCTGGAAAGTACAATACTACTACAGGTAAGAATTGTTACTTTTCTTGAATAAATAAATAAAGTGTCTGAATGACTATTTTACCCCTACATTCCAACCAACGCTTTTCACAATATTCATCAAATGTTATCATGAAGAGTTGGAGAGCAAATTCCGTCCAGATTAACTCAAAAATAAAGAAGTAAAAACGAAACAACTCCTTACTGGAAAAACATTGTGTTTTGTGTAGTAGCAGGGGGAGGGGGAGGTGGTGTTTCTGAGACTGGTGACAAGTTGGGACACATGGCGATGGTTGGTTCAAATAGAGTGGGTGTGGGTGTGGGTGTGGGTCCCATTCCTAGACAGCATCAGCAACAGCATGCAAAAGGTTGGGTACGTAATGGGAGATCTGACTTGTTTCCTGGGAGGTCCTATGATAGAGGTTATTGCAGTAAGGTGGCTGGATGAATAACAATAATAATATCACCTCACTTCAAACTCAAATGCTATTAGTTTGCTTTATTTTTACTTTTAATCATTAAGTATGTGTGTGTGTGTGTGAATGTTTTCCTTAATTTTATAAATTTGTGTGCTTGTTCTGCTACTTTGACATACTATCTGTCTTGTTTCTATAAAAATATTATTTGTATTGCTTGCTGTGTTTCTTGCTATCTGAGTTTGTTGATGGATAAAAAATTATAGGTTAGAGTTGGAGCAAAACAATAAAACATTCAACTACCAAATATCAATTGAGATTTTAAAACTTTGATTAATTCATTACTGCAACAATCCTTTTAATTAGCAAGCAACTGTGTTGGGAATTGTTGGAGCAAATTTGGGATTTTTCAAGTATGGTTAAAATTATGTTAGGGTGCGGGTTAGTTGTAATATCAGAACAAATGTAATGGCAAAGCCAAAACATGTGGGAATTGGGGAGCCACTGTAAGTGTGAAAATGTCAGAATTATAATGTTTAAAATATTCTATAAAATTTTAAAAAGAAATTAAATATCATTCTATTTTTCTTCTTAATTATCTTCCTATCTATAATGACAATGACAAATGTTTTAAAATAAAATATAATTAATTTTATCAAAATATGACACTTAAAGATAAATAGAAAGAAAAGGTTAGAGGATATTTAATTTCTCAAATTTAAATGCTTGAATTAAACAATTACAAACGAAAGTTAATAAATTTGAACAACTTTTAACCATAGCATCAAAAGAAGAGAATTAGTCAAGCTCTTGAAAGTTTGTTCTTTTAATTTTTTAAATAAATATCTATTTAATTTGATGGGAAGAATTTGTTTACCAATTTTATTAATCAGTAAGTTGTATAATATCTATTTTTTTATAAATCAATTAAAAAGTAGTGGGCACTACCGACAACTGTGTCAAGTAATGTATATAATTGAGAATCCCAACAGACTGCTAATTTCTGTTTTCCGAGTGTAAATAAATACAACATACCAACTAAAATAACCAAAACATACAGATGGACAAAAAAACGAAATAAAATATGGGTGGCTAAGTATAAGAATGCCCAAAACCAGGGCTATACCAACAACACAACACAACACAACAAAAGTCTGTTTGAAATGGATGACAAAACAGAAAGAAAAATCTTAGTATATCGTTAGATTGGAGTTTTTTAGTAGTAGTATATCCATCCTCGTTGTTATTGTTAAAGGTATTGAGATTGTATTCTCTCCCGGTTTTGTTCCCACCATTGCTTTGCATGCACTTCCCCAAACTTCTCACGACTACACACATTACCAACAATATATAAAAAAAACAGTCAGCTACTCATCAATCAAGATATGAATGGATGGGATGAGAATGAGAGTACCTGAATCTGACACGCCGAAGCTCACGTGTTCCATCCACCAATTGTCTGATTGTAATATAAACACCGGGCTCATCTTCCTCTATCCACTCCGAATCAACATCACTCGCATTACTAATCGAAACCGACCCCGCCTCATCTCGAGACGATGTCGTGGTCCTCGATGCATCCATGGACATTGACGATGGCCCACCATACACACCACCCCCACCGGGACCCACATTATTATACTGATGGTTCCTCATTGGGTTCATCATCGGGCTGTCCTTCACTGATCCAAGCTTCGAATAACACGAATCCCTCTACACAATATTCATCATATAAAAATTACAGATGAAAATAGATAGATAGACAGATAGACAGATGGATTAGATAGATTACCCCTCCATCCTCAGACCTAGAAGGCGTGTCAAGCGCCTGACAATTGAACCTCTGCACATTGTACAGCTCCATAATTCTATCGTAATTCTCTCCCCACCATCTTTGCGCTTGCCATTTGTCAAACATCTCTCGGCTGTTTTCATTAATTAATAACAAAATAAAAAAAATATATATATTTAAAGATTTTCATACAATAGTGAAAAATACAAGGACCATTGTAGTATAATTTGGTCCCCACATTGATTAACGGGACCATATGCATTGCATGTAGACAAGTCACACGGTTTAATTATGGGACAATACATATATATTATAATTATATGGCTAAATCAAAATCAAATAATTGACAACCCACTTACTTGAATCGAATCCGTTTGAGGTCGTTTCCACCATTAGGCAAGGACACAAATGTAATTTGAACACCGGGCTCCACTTGAGCCATCCATTCTATAGGGTCATCATCCTCATCCAAAACCAAATGACCGGATTGTCGAGGGGGTTCATATCCCCCATCCCAAACTGGAGGGACTGAACTTGAACTTTCAGGTGGTTGTATCGTGTAAGGATATTTGATTCCTTTAGATAATGTCGTGTCATAATCTGTGTAGGCTCTGTAGTTGTACCCTTTGTTCCCTGGCCCTGTGGGTGGCTTTCCCTTTGAAGACCCAGAAACTTTCAACGCCATGTCCTTCATCTGTTTGTTTCTTTGTTTGTTAATTTCTTGCAAATTATTATTATTCTTAAAAAAAATAATGTAGGTTTAAATAGTACATGTATTATCATGTACAAATGTGGAAAAATATGAATTAATAGCGAGGGTTATTCAATTATGGGTCTCGTGTCGCTTTTACCAACATGGAATTGGATGTTTGTCTGTCTTTTCCACACATCCACTTGTTGTGTAGGGTATATATCACAGGGAATATAACAAACTTTAAACCATTCTCAATGAAATTTGGTTTTTGAAATGTAAATGTAAAATGGTCATTTGGATTTAGTCTCATTAGAAAAGAAACATATGTATTGTGACTTGTATATACAGCATTCTATAAGGGTGATGATCATTACTTCACTCATACACATATTAAACCTTTTAAACAAACAATCGAGTTTTAGAAGCTTCTCAATTTAATCATTATCTTGTAACGATTAAATACACTTGTTATAAAATAATCTTTCTTCCAAATAAGAAAAATACAAAGTGAAAGATTCAAATCATACAAAATTTTAAAAGAAAGAATCAAATATATTGGGATCTAGTATGAAAAGTACAAGTCTCTCTTTTTGACAAAATTTAGGTTCAGAATTCATTTATTTTGTCCTACAGCTTACATAGGGGGAATTGTCAATTATGCCCTTGGTTGAATAGGCTGGAGCCAAATCTACCGAATGACTAGAGCAACTGCCAAAAATTTATTTACTGCCATCACACTATTATTTGTGACAGCACTGTAAAAAGTTAACAACACCAACACATGAAATAACATAAAGGAAACACACCCATCCATCAGCTTTCTTGGGCAGTTAAAAGAATTTGGTTCCTTCATTTTGTATTAATAATTACACCTACTTCCGTATCTTTTATCTTCATTACACTCACACTTTCAAATTTACCTTTTTTTTATATATATTATATTTATTAATATCATCCCTTTAACTTTAAACTGCCATTTTTTAACAACTCTTTCACGTAACCAGCTTCACAGTTTCAATGCTCTTCTATTTATATGTATTGGGTTTTCTTTTTGTTTTAATATTTGATTATTTGTGGTTCTTGAATTGTTTATCTAGTCAAAGATTTAAGATTATAAATCTTTTTTGAAGATATAAAACATGATCTTATTTAGACACTCCTAAAGGGAGAAGGTAGAAAGTAGGCGGGCGTACATCTAAATATAGACGACATAACAGCTTTTTTTTTCTACTTGTAACTAACATCAATTTAGTCCAATTAGAACTACGACTAGAATTCCAACTAGAATTATAACTAGACTTAACTCTTTTAAAAAAAAAAGTAAACAGTAGCTATAAAAACTTTTAACAAGAATAGGATCTAAAATAATTTTTTTGAAGCAATCAACAAAACAAACCCACGTATTCGTTTATCAAGATTTTACCAACATTAGAATGATAAAAGAAATATTAAATATTAAACTTAATGTATATATAGACAATGGTATGGTAATGGAATGAAGGAAAAGAAATAGATGTGTTCGAAAAGATTAAGGTAAGGTAATATTAACCTGCGTGGTGAGGGTTTTGACGGCGTCTTTGGTGGCGGGTGCCCCACGCGCCCCCACTTCCTCACCTCCATCGTCTACCTGCTGCTTTGAGCACGTTATACACGTCAGCATCTTCTCTCTTATTCTTCTTCACACTTCACACTGCAACAAAACAAATGCAATGGCAATATGAAGTTAAGAACCATTTATGACGTCATCATTCTTTGGGGTCCATCTAATCTATTGTATAGTATACGAGGTAAAATGAAAAATTAAGGTTAACGTGAAGGTGAAGGTGAAGAAAGGAATGAAGAGGTTTGAGTATGTGTATGTGTATGTGTAAGGGATTTCTCGAATAACCATGGAAAAAGTAAAAGAAGATTTTGATTTTTGTTGGAACCAAGGAAAAAAGTGAAAACGAGAGTAGAGTGTCCCCGGGATCCCAAATTCTGCACACAACTTTGCTTTACCCTTCTTTTCAAGCTTTCATTATTGATCGCAAAGTTGCCTCCTGCATCTGTTGCTGATCGTATCAATATCAATATCATTATCATTATCATCTCTCCCGATAATAGGACCACAGGACGCAATACCCCAGTTAAATTGATCAGACGAATTTTGAGGAATTTATGATTTTGGTTTTGCTTAGAAGAAATCAGAGAGGGGAAACAATGCGATCTTGGAAGAAGGAATGATACTGATGATGAATCGCTTTCACAAGTGTGGAAGGTTGTCGAGCACATAAGGTGTTCGATGAATTGACAAAGAGACAAATAAAGTTATACCATTGAAAACGACTCACCTTTGGCTGACCCACACACTCTGTTTCTGTCTCTTCTTCTTCTTCAAAGCCTCACACAACTATCTGTTCTTTTACTTTTGCTCCTATATAATATTCATCACAATCTTTTCCGCTTCTCCTGCAAATCAATGAACAGCAACTCCAAATTAGTACCAAATCGAGCATAAAACAGTATCAACTCCGTTCAAAGTGCTTAAAATGTACATAAATTAAGAGTTTTCAGTTTTGAAAACTCACGAAACTTGTTCGTCGGTGTCTGTGCTATGAAATAGGATAGAAAATGGACATGGAATCCGGTGATATATGGGAATTGGTACGGGTGGGTTGATTCTTGACAACACTGGCAGAAGGAAGGTATTGGAATGGCGCTGTCTCCTAGCACGGTTGCAGGTGGTTGTAGCATATATATATGTATATACGTTCAAATACGTGCGAAAGAGAGAGACAGAGAGATAGAGAGAGAAAGAAGAAGCCAAAATTGGTGAATAGAGACAAGAAAGCAGGAGCATCTCTGGTATTTATAGAAAAGGAATTTTGTATCCATTTATTATTACGAAATTCCTCACAAATGGTCAAATGTAATGGCTCATCACTTTTTATGTGTGAGAACGGTATATTAGACGGACTTAATAAAAAGTTTAATATCAATAATACGTAAACATTAAACATTTTATAAACTAATTGAAAAAAAAGTAAATTAAATATTTTATAAAGTAATTGAAAAAAAAGTAAATGAGTTTGTAAAATTTATGTGAATTCATTCTCAAATTAAAAAAATGATAATCTTACATTAATAAAATGAGAACGTTCCATATATATAACCATAAATTATAAAAATTTAATGTAACAATGAAAAACCTCAAAAAGTGACAAATGGAAATAAAAAAATGAAAATAAACCAAAAAAAGTCATGTGGCAAAATGAAGGAAAATACATGTGACAAAAAAAACATTCGTTTATTAAAGAAAACTTTTTTAAAATTGGGTTACGAAATGATTTTTTTTTTTGGAAAAAATAAGGTTTGTTGTGGTTTTGTTATTTTCAAAAGATGATTAATTTGTCATTTATATAAACATTGAAATTTTTATTTTTATTTTTTAAAAAAATAAATATTTTTCTAATTTTTTCTTTCTATCTAACTTCCTATTCACTATATCAAAACATATATATTATGAGATGAGATTAAAAAAAAACTAATAGATTCAACATGTCATTATTATATATATAAATTATCTATTTAAATATAATATTAAATAAAAATTATAAATTAAAATAAAAATTAATCTTAAAATATTGAAAACGTGTTTTTTTCAATATTAAGTAAAATAAAATAAAATTTTAATGTTACATGTAAATCAAAATATCAAATTAACAAAAATTGATACAAAAATCATCTTTATAAGATACCGAAGGGGTGGACAGAACCCACGCATGCATAGTAGTATGTATAGGATATGTTATTGTATGATTCAGTATGCTTATGTTATGTTATCATGAAACCAATATGTTTATGCTATGGATTATGTGATAGGGATAGGGGGTGAAATAGTCCCCAGTTAACGGTTGAAAGACACTGAAGGGGAGGTTAGTTCCCGGGTACCGGTTGAAAGATACCGAAGGGGAGGGTAGCTCTCGGTTACCGGTTGAAAGACACCGAAGGGGAGGATAGTTCCCAGTTACCGGTTGAAAGATACCGAAGGGGAGGGTAGCTCACGGTTACCGGTTGAAAGATACCGAAGATTTTGTGCTATGGGTATGATGGGGGAACTCACTAAGCTTCGTGCTTACAGTTGCAGTTTTGGTTTCAGGTACCTCTTCGTCTAAGGGGAAGGAGCCGGCGGTGTAGCAGCGCATCACACACATACATGGTTTCCGCACCGGATTTATGGGATTGTACTCTGATTTACACTGTTCTTGATTATATGGTTTTGAGACATGACATTATGTTTTTACAAGTATTATGAGATTGATGATGTTTTGGTAAACTGATTTGTGAATTAAGTAATTTAAAAACGGAATTTTTGGCCTCGAAATTTGGGGTGTTACAAGTTGGTATCAGAGCCCTGGTTTGAGGGATTCGGACACATCCTCGGGGATGTCTGTACTCAAACCGAGGGATTAAAAGGTTTTTACAAAGAAAATGGTTTTCTAAAATCTAAATTAAGGAATTTTGAGAAAGAACAAGGTGTGTGATGCGTGCGACCGGCCGAGCTCAAGTTAGTTTTCCCAAGATACCCATACTTGTTATATTATGTTATATGTTTATGGTTCTGAGAATTGCATGCTAGAATAGGGCTAAGGATCTAGGAAGGATGCCTTGAATGCCTGTTGTATGAGTTGTATGCTAGGACCGCTTAGCCAGCGGTAGGATAGCCTGATTAGGTTATGCTTGACGCGGTTACTCAATGCACGAATGCTGCTTGCTTTGTGCTATAGGGATTGTGGCCAACTTTAACTAACTAGTGAGCGGATATGAAACAGTATTCGCAAGCTAGTTAGGGGGAGATGGTAAGGACTCCTAGTGCAGCTGATGGCGGAGAGTAGGTCGGAGAGTGCCCTAGGAAAGCCTGGGATGAGATTAGTGGAAAGGGGTATCAGTAAAGGGACTTGGTGAAGTCGAAGCAATCCTTGAGGAAAGTACGGATATATGTGGAAGGTAGCATGGACCCGTACTACTGGAAACAGAGGATCCGTACTTGAGTCAAGGAGGGCCGAGATGGAACCGGGGAACTTGGAGAGTGTGTGAGGCCTCTCTAGAATGTGTATGATCTTGACGTTTATGTGTTTGTTTCAGTATGGCTATCACACGACATGGAGCGGGAGGTTCAGGATCTGGGTCCGGATCGAGATCAGGCTCGGGTGCAGGATCCGAGCAGGTTGATGATGGGCTACGCGAGTTCATCGCGTATGAGATCACGAGAGGCATCCTTGAGGCGACCCCGGTCATTTTCGGGTCGATCAAGGAAGGGATCATCGAGCTGATGGAGGACCGCCTCCGGGCATTCAGGAGTGATCTGGCGTCTAGCCAGACGGGTACACGCACACTGTCCTTCAAGGACTTCAGGGGGAGTGGTGCGCCAGACTTTCACGGGGTGAAGGACCCCATTGCTGCCAGGAGATGGATCGCAGACATCGAGTCTGCGCAGTTGACGAGCTTCTGCCCGGAAGGGTCGAAGGTCCGCTTTGCCGCGGGATGTTTGAGGGATAGAGCTAGAGATTGGTGGGAGTCAGTTGGTGACTCGCTGGGAGCCCCAGTCATCGAGGCTATGACCTGGTCAGACTTTGCGACCAGATTCAGGGCTGAGTTCGCGCCAGCTGTGGGGCTTCAACAGCTGGCCAGGGAGTTCTTGAATATGAGACAGACTACGGAGACCGTGGCAGAAATCACCGCCAAGTTCCGGGAGAGGGCTTTATTGGTGCCCCAGTACGCAGGAGATGAGGATATGAGGAGGACCCGCTATCATGACATGTTGAGAGCCGATATCAGGGAGCATGTCAGCTTCTCGGCATGTCCAACCCTGGACTCCATGATTGCCAGGGCGCGAGAGAGGGAGATAGATTTGGAGTACCTCAGGAAGAGGAAGGCAGGGACTGAGCAGGTTACGGGGGTTTCGGGGAAGAAACCCAAAGGATTCGACTCTAGGTCGAAGGGTCAGCAGGGCCGGGACCGCTGTGGGAAATGCGGTCGGTCACATGAGGGAGTTTGCCGCACTGGGTCGGGTTCCAGCTGCTATAAGTGCGGCAAGACTGGGCATTTCGGCAGGGATTGTATTGCCCCTGTTTCCACGATTCAGACATGAGACCTGATTTGCTTTCATTGCCATCAGAGGGCCCATAAAAAGGCCAACTGCCCCAGATTGACAGCAGCAACGGCGAAGCCGGCAGCGGCGCCAACTCAGGCGACTGTTAGGGTTATAGATGGCCAGAAGGCCAAGCCAGAGGCTCCAGTGGTGCGGAGCCAAGCATTTCAGCTGACAGCCGAGGAGGCACGCGCCACACCCGATGTGGTGACGGGTATGGTTTCTCCTCCTTATTACTTATTATTATGATTGCTGGGATTTTGATATGTTATATGTATGCTCTGTTTAGGATCATTCCATGTGAACGGTATCCCAGTTCAAGTATTATTTGATTCGGGAGCCACCCGATCGTTTGTCTCTCTTGCGCTTAGCAAGAAGTTCCCTGAGTCTTCGGGCATGTTGGATTGCCCTTTAGAGGTTGAGATTGCCGATGACCGATCGGTGCGAGCATCAGCAGTTTTCAGAGATTGCGTCCTGAGGTTATTCGAGGAGCGCTACTTGGTAGACTTGGTTCCCATACCTTTGCGGGGAAACAAGGTTATTATTGGTATGGATTGGCTAAGCCCCAATGGGGCAGTGATCGACTGCGCGCAGCAGTTGGTGCGGATCAGGACCCCGAGTGGGGGAGAGTTGGTGATCCAGGGCGAGGGGCCACAGTGAGGACCAACTTTATGTTCAGCAGCGAGAGTGAGACGCTACCTACAGCAGGGCTGCGTTGGGTATGTCACCTATGTTATAGATACCCGGGAGGCGGGTACAGCGACGGTGAGCGATGTTCTGGTGGTGCGGGACTACGTGGATGTGTTCCCAGAGGAGCTTCCTAGGATACCTCCGGAGCTACAGGTGGAGTTCAGGATCGACCTAGTCCCTGGTGCGGCTCCAATTGCCAAGGCACCATATCGGTTGGCTCCTCCCGATATGCAGGAGTTGTCTACGCAGCTGCAGGAGCTGCTAGACAAGGGATTCATCATGCCGAGTAGCTCGCCTTGGGGAGCCCCGATCCTGTTTTTCAATAAGAAGGACGGGTCGCATTGCATGTGCATAGATTACCGGGAGCTGAACAAGGTGACGGTGAAGAACCGTTACCCACTCCCGAGGATTGATGACCACTTTGACCAGCTCCAGGGAGCATCTTGGTTCTCCAAGATTGATTTGCGTTCAAGTTATCATCAGATGAGGGTCAGAGAGGAGGATGTGCAGAAGACTGCTTTCCGGACACGTTATGGTCACTATGAGTTCGTGGTGATGCCTTTCGGGCTCACCAATGCTCCTGCCGCGTTCATGGATCTTATGAACCGCGTGTGCAGACCGATGTTGGATCGGTCCGTGATAGTTTTCATTGATGATATCTTGGTCTACTCCAAGTCGCAGAAGCAGCATGAGGAGCATTTGCGAGAGGTCTTGGACACTCTGAGGAGGGAGAGCTTGTACGCCAAGTTCTCCAAGTGTGAGTTCTGTTTGCGCGAGGTGCAGTTTCTTGGGCACCTTGTCAACCAGAATAGTATTCTGGTCGACCCGGCCAAGGTGGAGGCCGTGATGAGATGGGAAGTTCCGAAGTCTCCATCTGAGATTCGGAGTTTCCTGGGATTAGCCGGCTACTATCGGAGATTCATCCAGGATTTCTCCAAGATAGTCGTACCTTTGACTCGGCTAACGAAGAAGGCCGTAGTCTTTTGTTGGGG